GAAAGTTGTTATTTACTATGGAAACACACATATATATATATATATATATATATATATATACATATTCGTCTGGTGATATATGATGAACCTCTGTGTGGGCTATTCGGGTGATTATTCTAATGGCACTTTTGATTACACGTAGGTTTGCTTTAAGCACAGTTTTTGTTTTGCGAGTTGAGATCAATAGCTAAGTGGGTATAAAGTGTGCGAGTCTCATTGGCCTGTTAGTGTTAATGTTTTCGAAGTGTTCCAACACGCTCATAGATGACGCTGCCGCCGTGCTATGAGCCAACATCCAGTCTTTTACAGTGACGATCGAAGCTATATTCAAAGACTGGGTTAGGCATATCGTACTGTTGTTTAGAAGTTTGTGCTAAAGCTGTATACATCCGAGTGTGACTGTTGAAGTATGTTGAAATGGTACAATGCACGGTGGCTTTACGCTTATATAGTACCCAATTCAAGCAGCCAACAAGCGTGAGTTATTAATGGACCTCCAATGAATATCAAACATTATCTCCATTCGCCAGGACACTTACACGCATACTTACAAATCTATATTATTCAATTGTAGAATCTCCGTTCTCGAAATGAGATCAAGGGTGACAGCCACTCACGATACCCCGTTAAAGTGAGCAAGCAATATGCAGACAAAATGATCCGCTACACCTTCAAGCTGAAGGTCTTACCCTTGGACACCAGGGGTGTCATGACGCATCTATTCCAGATATTCAACTCTAAACCCGACTTAGTAGTGACAATCACGAGCAACAACGAGCTCTACTTCCATTCACCCGAGGGTGTGTTTTCTAATATCAGAATATACGACACGGGCGAGTGGATGGACCAGTGGATCTCGTTTGCCATCACCATCCAGTACAGCACCAACTACATACACCTGCAAGCAGGCAAGAACGGCTCCAATGTTATCGATACCGAGCCAGCGATCTTGAAGCCCATGAGTGTGGAAAATTACTACAGGTTAAAGTACGGGTTGTATTATGTTGCAGATTTGGTAGGGCCCCCTACTACCTTCCATGTGAGGTATGTGGATGTGCAGGTAGAAGAGGTGCAGAGTCAAGCAAACGAGACAGTTGGCAACGGCACTGATATTGGTACCAACACAAGTACAGGGGTCGAGGAGACTGGCGTGGATGTGGTTAGTAGTCAGGCTACTGATGTGGGTAGTTTACCTATAGATACGAGCAGCGAGAATGATGATGATCCGTTAATAGATGTGGATGAGATAGATATATGATCTACTAGTAGATGAGAGTTCCTGTAGTTGTATCAATCGATGAGAAGAAGAGAAGATATCCGTGTGATCGAGCGTATGATCAGAGTTGGGTAGACGAGTTCTATCATAGATGAGACTAAGCTATAGTCATGATCTATTTATAGATATGTGAGTGAGATAATGATGTGACCTCGACCTGTGAAGGGCGATGTGTGGGAATGCAGGAAAAGTTGATCAACATACGAACGCAGCAGGACTGCAAATTTAGATAGTAAAAACACATTTAATTTTAGGGAGACTATGGGAGGGAGGGAGCCTACCCACAAGCATATATTTTGGAGTGATGTAGAAGTTGATTGAGATTTGAATAGCAACTATGTTACTAGAATATGTAGTAGCCAAGTGCCAGAACAGACAGATTTTGTTCGCTTGGCTCGGGGTATTCTACAGATAGCGTGATTGCCATTCACACCTCCGGCACCAATTGCATATCTCTCGTCGAACCCAGTCAGACGGCAGGCGTAAATAATATCTTTCTCGTGGAAGCGGGGCGCATGTGCCAACATGGTCTATCATTCGTAGAGTGCGAGATACATCCATAATCCTCGCACGATACGGACCCAGGTACGAGCACAAGAGAGGAGGATTAGGGTGAATTGTATTGATCCAGATATGGGTGCGAGACTTCGGGTTTGGATAAGCTCAGCGATGAAGCTACATACTTTTGACGTTCCAATTGAACTAGTCTAAGCTACAGACCCAGATCACCAAGTCTAAACCGAGTGGATGTTGTAAGGATGCAGGCACGGGACAAACATGGCTAAAACGAGTGGGGCATGACTCAGCTCACACTGTAGACATTGTTGGCCATTTACAAACGTGCCATTGGCTGTGCTGTAGAGGTCGTGCAATTATTGATGAAGGGTGTGATTGCTGGCGAGTATTTGAGTGGTACTAGTGCGAAGGCTTGTGTAGATGCTAGTTGGCTTTCTCAGTACACTACGATTTAGCGAAATATAACAATTTGGGCCAGTGACAGATAAGGCGATTTTCCTTTATTGAGGATTACACGCACCTCTCCTATGCAGTGGTGCACAGCCACGCTTACACGATTATCTTTGGGGCGTTGCTCTGGGAGTTGGGTCTTGTCAAGTGTGAGACGCGGCGACTGCTATAGTGACTGACGTAGATGGGGGACCCTATTACCCATATCCATACGCGCCAGTTTTTCGTAAACACATATGTCATGCTACCACAGCTGTAGATTGTGGGTTGGCAGCATGAAGGATTATGATCACCATGCGGAACGAACATGCTTATTGGTAGTAGTCTACAAAGACATTAGGCGTCTTAGTACCCGTGTCTGGCCCCGGCAGAGAGACGAGGCATCAGGAAGAACATTTGTGTTCTCACCTCGCTGATCCTTCGGCGCAATAGTGCCGACTGTATGCAGAATTTTTGCGAACTTCGGTCGCCTACTACTTAAGACATCTCTGTCATTTTTTTTTTTATACCTATTTCTGAGCAAGTGCCAGTTTACGGGTGAGGCTTATATATATATTTCATATGTGACAGCTCTAATCTGAATAAATATATTCATGCAATGTATAAAGGTGATTCCGGGACGATTATGACTCCATTGAACTCTAGTACTAGGACGGTGGGAAAGCTGACCAGTGAACCCCCAGTAACAACCCAAGGACAGCAGTGGCCTCATAAAAGAACTAAGCTACAAATGGGAGCCTCCCGGCCAATCACAAGGGTGCTGGGTCGAGTATATAGTTATTCGCATATATACGGGCATATGTTATTGTTTTCATTAAGGAGAGAGTAGTATACGTAGTTGCCATGAGATGCGCTGTAGATATTCGTGAACCTGGTCCGACAACTACATACTTCCGTTACGGACTATGTCGAATTATTAGGATATGTAGACAAATGGCTTGTATGTTTCGATGTGTAAACATAGTATGGGGGAGGGACGTATTTTATGACTGACTTAAGATGAGAGCAGTCACCGATTATGAATCATAGCATAGTCTTTACACATGTAGCAACGCGACAGACAATATAATTTGTGCTTTCTTTTATTTTTACGACCAAACACAGCGACGGTTATATGGCACGTACAGATAATGTGTACAACTCAAGAAAAACTTGTCGTCGCTTTTTTTTTTTGGAATGGTAGACATGATGTAGTACGTGCATATTATATATAGTGGCGAGGAGAGACAGTTGGTCATCGCATGGACTTTTTGTTTTCTTCGCAGACATGCTCGTAAAAAATACTTTGCAAAATGGAAAATATATGCATAATATGGGCTGAACATGTATATATATATAAATACGCAGACATAACAAATATGCAAAGCTACGACCAGGGGACGAATCTTTCAAGTCTCGATTGCATCGGTTCGTAGTGCGTGATCTCAAATTTGGGCCCTAATAGTGACTGCGATGCAATTAGACAAATCGTGATTCATGATACATACGAATGCCGGTTTTGCCGGATTGGAAATACTAAAGTTGCAATGGAATTCGAAAATACCATGCTATCCTAGTAATTATTATACGTCAGTGTATGTCGTGCAAACTTTATACGCCAAGTCGGTGTAATGCAATAACTTGCTACTGTGAGGTTACTCCCTTGGCCCGCCAGGGCCGCCACGGTCAGTTACTAATAGACTATAGTATAGAAATCTGCAGCTTCAACAGTTCTGCGGGCAGTTCAGCATCGCAACTCGTATGAGTTATATCAGCCCATGCAAATTCCAATGGACCCAGAGTCTCAGACTCCAAACTTCAAAGCCCAGAGCCCCAGCTGCCAGCTGCCAGCTGACGTCTTTGATTCTGCTAACCACTTTCTCCTCTCTCTCTCTCTCTCTCAAGAGAGGGAATAGTAGCTGTAGCCCATAGGGCGTAGGCCCCCTCTGGGCGGCTGCCGGCTGGTGCTGACCCTGGGGCGCAGGCCGCTGGGTCCCAGTAATGTACGCAAATTTGCTCTCTATAGTACTATATCCTCTATTCTTTAGCAATATATATAAATATCAATTAATAAATACTTACCAACGATAAAAGACCAAATGATTGTGAATTTAAAATCATACTGTACCACTGACTGTAGTAAAATAAACTGTATACTTGCACAGTTTGAGTTTTTTAAGCACCTGGAGGCTCGTGGCTCGATCTGTTCTGGGAAGTTTGAGGGGATCCAAGTATATGATACAAACACTATGATACCAACACTATTTGATACCAACACTATATGATACCAACATTTCTGCCAAGTCGAAAGTCCACGTTGCGTTGGAATTTATCGGCACCTTGGGCGATGCTTGCTCAACTCGAGTCACTGTGCGTCAACCCACCCACGTGTGTTCCGGTATTTGGGTCCAAAATGGCTATTTTTATATAAAACACACTAAGCATTATCCCGTTAATCCATATTCGACAAATAGCACAGTATTGTTGATCGATTTACTGATTATATATGTATATATATATATATCTATATATATTTATATATATATATATATATATATACATAAATATAAATATATATATATATATATATATATATATATATATATATATATATATATATATATATATATATATATATATATATATATATATATATATGTATATATATATATATATATATATATATATATGTGTGTGTATATATATATATATAT